TTTGCCTTCTTAGTGCTAGGATTTCAAGTGCACACTACCATGCCCAGCCTCTTCGTTTGTTTGTTTGTTTGAAACACGGTGTCTGGACATCAGACTCTGGTTCGTCCTCATTGCAGAGCAAATACTTCGCACAGGCGGCGATCTCTGCAGCCTGAAGAGTTCTTCTCCTTTCCACCGCGGTGTCCCACTATCTGACCTTGCTTCCCTTCCACACCGTTGCCGCCCGTCTGTCCTCAAAGACAGTGTGTTACGTTCACTGTGGGGTGTGCCTACTGTGTGCTCTCTCCCAGTGCAGAGAGAGCTGCTGCATATGTGCTCCGGGCCTTTCTCTCTGCCGTGATTCTCCCACACAGTAGCTTACTGGACACTGTTGTGTAAACACCAGGACCCACGTGTCCTAAGACCCACGTGACCACCAGCCCCAGGCTCTGAGCCTGAGGACATGTGCTGAGGGATTTGGATTTTTAAATTGAGCTTTATCTTCATAAATTCTCTTTTGTTGTAGGAGAAGCTGGTTATTTGAAAAGTTCCCACAAAGTACTCATGAAAAATACATGGCCCCTTCTTTATGTATTGATTCCATCTCAGCTATCTAGTCCTGGAGGAAGAACAAAGTGTGAATCTAGGGATAATCATGTAGGGGATTTGTCAAAATCACGATCATCTTCAACTCGAGAATCTAAGTCAATAAGAATTCCTGAGCAGACTTGGATAGTCTGAGTCACCCACAGTACCATTCTATGAAGGATCAGAACACAGCCATCACCAGCAAGCATAAATAAAAGCAAACATAACTGATTTCGTGGTGGAATTTTAAGATACTTAACCTGCATGTTTAGAAATTGTGTTCCACGTTAATTGAAGCCCAGTAGAAAAATTCATTTTTTAAATAGAAAATCAGAGAAATAATCTGTTTTTGCTTCTATTTGTTTTCTCCCTTCTTTCCTTTTTCTCCTCCATTTGTTGAAGACACATGTTTCTGTGACTGTGTATCTTAAATCTACGTATATGGCATCATTAGGTTAAGGTACTGCATTAGGCTTCCTCATTGCTCATTTGATTTTCAGGATCCCCTCTCCTTGTTCTCTGAGTACTTGTGTAGTCTTTGATTCTAAGCACTGCATACTGCTTTCTTTTTTTTTTTTCCCTTTGGTTTTTTGAGACAGGGTTTCTCTGTGTAGCTTTGCGCCTTTCCTGGAACTCACTTGGTAGCCCAGGCTGGCCTCGAACTCACAGAGATACGCCTGGCTCTGCCTCCCGAGTGCTGGGATTAAAGGCGTGAGCCACCACCCTCCGGCGCATACTGCTTTCTGTGTAGAGGATTCACCATATTGAATTACTGCCTGTCAACCACTAATTATTATAGATCATATTTTGATACCAGGACTACAAGCACTAACTCAGTAGGTGGACATGGGACAATAAATTTTGTTATTTTAGGTGATTTCATGTGTCCATCTGTATTTCTGGGCTGCACTGGAAGACCAGTTCCAGCAAGTAAACAGTTGCTAAAACTCAAGTAGGGCCTTTGGGTGAACGGAAGCACTGTGCAGAGATGTATATGTTTGGTCTGCATGTTTGAGTCCAAGGAAACATTCATCTTACAGTGGTTCTCACCCTTCCTAATGCTGTGACCCTTTAATACAGTTCCTCGTGTTGTGGTGACCCTGTCCATAAAATTATTTCAATGCTACATTAAAACTGTAATTTTGCTACTGTTATGAATCATAATATAAATATTTGTGTTTTCTGTGGTCTTAGGGGACCCCTGTGAAAAGGTTGTTCAATCCCCCAAAGGGATCACAACTCACATGTTGACAACCACTGGTTTAGAACCATTTCAAAGAATGTCATAACTAAATTGATCGTTTCGGGAAATATTAAATGTGACTTTGTGTTAGAAGCCAACCTGGAATGCAGGCCGTCTTTGTTGCATCCTGTCTGTGATACGCCGTCCTTGAAAGTCTGTAGGATGACCCATTTGCTTTAGGGGTGTCAAGTTGAATGTTGCGCCTCTGTACACACAGAGTACACTTGTGCACCCTGACTGCCATTTACGTAATGGGGAGGGAGAGGAGGGGACTGAATGACTGTGGCTCAGGGAAGTCAGAACAGAGCTTGCAGACCTCGATTCACTAGAACCGGGAAACCTCAGCACCAGGCCAGCAGTGTCCATTCAGAGTTGTCGTAGCTATTTGCCAGCAAGCATTGACACTTCTCACTCCACACCCCCCCGGTTCTGTGTGCATTGGAAGGTCCCGGGGATTGAACCCCTGAAATCCCTATCAACTTCCCCACCATGTTCTTGGCAAGAGGTCTGCTGGGAGCAGCATCACACCCGGCTTAGGGCTGTGGGCTATCCTGTTCCACCCCAGTTCAGATCCTTGCTCCTTAGTTTCATGGCGGTGTGATCTGGAACACGTTGCTCAGGTGCTCTCTTCCGTGTGAACTTCCTGGTATGTGAACTAGGTGGGGATACTACAGGGTAGCTACGCCCTGGGTATTTTGTGTGAGGGTTAAAAATGTGACGGGAGCATGGGCAGTACATGGCAAGGGTCTGTGTAACCACTGGATCCTTGGTCTCTCTGTATCGTTTCACACCAACACTGTCCAAATCACTAACACCCCACTGCCATTTCTCTGGATATGGTGTTCTCAGTGCCCCATGCCCTGTTCGGTTGCTTGCGGCACCACAAACCTCCACTCTATGGACTGTTATTATGTGTTATAAAACCACTCGTGCATTTCATCTCTCCAAAGAAACGCGAGAAGAGAGAACAAAGCCCTGGTTGTTGGAGACGAGGTGTAGCTATGCAGTCCATTGCTGGCCTTGAGCTCACTGTGTAGCTCAGACTGGCCAGGAAATCTTGATGTTCCTACCTCTGCCTCTCAAATGCTGGAGTAACTATGGTTCACTGCTGGGCCTGCAGATGGTCTTTCTTCCTTTTCTTTTGGCCCGTGGGAAACAATTCCCGTTAAATGTCAACACCAGGAATTGTACTTTTCCTACACTCTTGGGCCTTATGTTTGTCTTCCTCTTTGGCTGCCGAGTAGCTCAGAGTCTGAGTGGTAGTTTACCTACGTCTAGGCACTGTGCTGCTGTGGATATCGCTCTGTATAAATAAAATGCTGATTGGCCAGTAGCCAGGCAGGAAGTATAGGCGGGACAAGCAGAGAAGAGAATTCTGGGAACAGGGAGGCTGAGTCAGGAGATGCCAGCCTGCTGTCCAGGGAGCAGCCTGTAAAGGCAACAGGCAAAGCCACAGAACACATGGCGACATATAGATTAGCAGAAATGGGCTGAGTTTAAGTGTAAGAGTTAGCCAGTAGTAGGTCAAGCAGTTTAATTAATATAAGCTTCTGAGTGATTATTTTATCAGCGACACTGCACTGTTGAAGACATATTTTGTGTGCAAACCTTTCCCAGTCTTCATACTGACTGCTTTTTCCTGTGATCTTGCTTGTTGTACCTTTTGAAACACTGTTATGTCTATGCTATGAACACTGTAATCTGTCCTGAGAATTAAGTGGGACATAAATTGTACATAAGTCTGAGTCAACATGGGAAAATAGCAGGAGTCAGGAGATGCAGCGGGGAGACCAGTGCTCAAGCCACTGTATGCACACCATGGCATGGGCTTGGGCAAGCTATCTCCAAACCCCACCAGTTCCAGGCCAACTAAAGCTTGTCTGGACCTGCCTCATGCGGTGGCTGTATGATGTACATGTATGACTGTGTATACACAGGCCCCAGTACTGTGTCTGGACCTTGTTCCTTGTTAGTTCTATCCTGTGACTTCCAGTACATCCTTAAAAGTTAAGCCAAAGTAGGGCTGGAGGTGTGGCACAGTAGGTAGACTACTTCTCTGCAGTACATGAAGGCCTGACCCAGAGCTTGGGAGGTTGAGGCAGGAATATTAGAAGTTCATGGTCAGCTCAACTACATAGTGAGTTCAAGACCAGCCTGAGATACATAAGACTCTGCTAAAAAGAAAGGAGAAAATTAAGCTAATCTAGGAGTTGAGGTTGTAGTTCAGTGGTAGAGCATTTGCCTAGCAAGAATGCGAGGCTCTGGGTTTGACCTTCAATACAGGAAGAGAGAAAAAAGCTGTACTGATATAGATATTAAAAAGTTAATTTTTAAATATACACATACATATGAATATGTGTAGGTTTTATCAGTATTTGATGCATTACAGAAATTAAGTAAGGCTTAATTGGCTTAAGTAATTGGCTCAAGCACCCACCAGTTTATGGAGTGAGTAAAGGCCTGGAACTCTGGAGAAGGATGTCCAATCCTGTCTCCCACCTTGTAAAACTGTCTAAGAGGCCGAAAGCATTCCAATAACAAGATGTTGCAGAATATGAAAGTGTTGGTTTTTTGGGTCAGACCTTCCCTGACCGTGGCTTCCCGGCAGGGACAGCGTCCCACCTAGCTGCCCTGCTGGGGTGGGGATGCCCCTGTGGACAGCAGCCTGTGCTTCCTGCTCTGACCCTGCTCTCTCCCTCTCTCTCGCATTAGCCCTGCAGTGGTGGTGCCTGGGAACCAGCATCCTGCGGGAAGACAGAGGATCAGATGACGGTCTCCGGTCAGGCTCGAAAATATGTGAGCGCATTCTCGGCTCGGACTCTGGTCATGTGAGACATTTCCAGAAAAGCATTATGGTTTTCAGAACACTCCAAGTTAACTTGTGATATATCATTCCTCAACGTGGAACGCTTCATGATTGAGAGAAGAACCTATTTTTTGTTGTTGTTACAACAGTTGAGAGAAGCACCAAGTGCGTTTTAGTTGCATGAAATCTTATTGGATTTCACCCAACTAAAAAGGATTTTTTTTAAAAAAAAATTAATGAATTGCAGTCTTACCTAAATTATTAGGTAATGAATTGTAACCATTTGTTAATATCGTAATCAGATTTTTAAAAAAAAAAATAAAATGATTTATTTGTATTTTAGAGGATCTAACAGATCAGTATTTTTTGACTGTGGTAAATTTTTAAAAAATTTTTATACAAAGAAATACCCCAGTATCTCACATTTCTCAATCACTAAGCATACCCACAAATATTTTTAAAAACCGGTAAAAGCATTATCATGAATGTTGGCTAAATACCAAGTGATAGTTCATGGAGCCTCTAAGAGCTCATTTGTAGTTAATAATATTGGAAATACGTTTATTGGACTAAACCAACTCATGAGGATTTTTTTGTTAGCTTGCTTTAAAAATTATTACTGTATGAAATAGTTTTATAAAAAAATATATTTTTATTCAGTAATTTAATTTTGTAAATGCCAAATAAAAAAAAATGTGTTTCGCTGCTATGGTCTTAGCCTGTAGACAATGCTGCTAGTATCAGAGGTGCAGTAGAGCTTGGATGAAAGAAAAGAAACTCTGTGTTAGATAACAAACTATGCACTAGAACTTAAGACTTTTTTATTTTTATATATATACTTTTTCCTTTTGTAATTGGAAAACTTATTTGGGAGATTTTTGCATTTGTTGTATGTTTTCGTTTATTTTTTTTTAGGAAAGTTTTTTTTTGTTATTGTTGGTTTATAAAAGCATGCATTGCACTTCTTTTTTTTGGGAAATTTATGTTGTTCATGTCATATGTTTTGTTTTGAGTTGACCGTTCATTTATTCAGGCATTCTGAGTCTGACAGAACTGCCTCATGGTTCTTGTGTTTGTGGAGGACAAACGTAGAGGTCACTAGCCGGTTTCTGCCTTGAGAACACTGGGTGCAAGATGGCCGGTCCTCAACTTCGGAAATGACAGTGTACTTACTGCCTTGTAGCAAAATAAAGCTGTGCCCTTATTTTACATACTTCCTGACTTCTCTTGTTTTTGTGATTTGGGGTAATAATAACACATCTAAGAAAATGAAACAAACTCAAAATACCATTTTCTTTCCAAAACGTGCATGCCATCTAAAATTTGTGTGACACGTCTTTGCCACAGGGAAAGTAAAGACGAAGCAAGTTAAGTAGTTCACAGAATAATCGCAATGACAATTGGGAAGACTCTTCCGGAGTGTGTCAAGCAAGGTTCAAAAACTCTTGAACTGCAAACAAAATATACATATAGAAGTACTGACATCTGGCTGGGGAGATGGCTAGCATGTAAAGTACTTATTACATAGCATAAGGACCTGAGTTCCAATTCACAGAACCCACACAAAGCCAGACAAGACATCTATGTGTGCAGTCCCAGATTTCCTATGGCAAGATGGGAGATGGAAGCAGGGGAATCTCAGGAAGTTTGCGTCCAGTAAACAGACAGACCCTGTCTCCACAAAAGGTGGAAGTTGAAAACTGAGAACCAAGGTTGTCGTCCAACCTCCACAGATGTACTGTGGCATGCATGTACCCATGCCCCCATCACACACAGACATATAGGTGTTCATGGATACACAGAGTTTGCTTGTTTGTTTGTTTAAGTGATATTTAAACAGATATAGGCAGGGTGTGGGTATATGGAGGGTCAAGTTTTATAGAAGGAGAGAGTCATGAAAATAATGAGAGACACAGAGATGCAATCAATAACCCCTGGTAAGGTGCACGGCTTTCTTTCTACTGCTCTCCCATCATAATGGGCTAACATCTCTGAATCTGTGAACCCAAATAAATCTACCTGTCCTCAAGTTGCTTCTAGATTTTATCACAGTGATGAAAAGTAAACACAAACATTCCAGTGTAGTCCCTTCAGCCAAGCTCCCCCGTTTTACAGATGAATCCCCCTTCAATGTTCAGTATCCTTAAACTGACACTACCTTTCATCCACATCACTCAGATCCAAACTCCAGCTTGATGAGTTTTCATATGCATAACATAATCTGTGGCTCAATAAGGCAAGGATGTGTTAGACGTAAAGACTAGTCTTTAGGGCCATTTTACAGTCTTTGGTTGTCCTGATGAATAACACATTTCTGAGTGCTGGGAAGCTCTGTAGATCAGGCACCTAGCAGCTGAGGTCAGAAAATGGAGCCTTGATGACTACTTGGTTCTCTCAGTGTTTCAAGCTAACCACTACGGGGGATAAATATGAGGCTAACAATGGGTTTCATCTATGAGAGGGTTAGGGGTGTGGCTCAATAGCAGAGCAAGAGCTGAGCGTGTGAAGCCTAGGTTTGACTCTCTATAACCTCTTACCTATATGGAAGCCATAGTTTCTTGGAAGGCAATTGTGAATGGCTGGTCTACTACCCAGATTTTTCTAGCGGCTTCTGGAAGGCAGTGGTCAGAGATTTCCAATCCATTCCTTTCAAGTATATTGTTCTATAGTTCTGGGTCCTAGAAAGCTCCAGACCACTGTCTTGTGAGTGGATTTAGTCTGGCTGGAGCATACTTCCTGTTTCTCAGAAGGCACCATTTTGTTGTGTTTTCTGTTTTCACATGACAGAAGGGCCTGATTTCTTTTGTTGGTTGGTCGCTCACTTGGTTGGTTGGTTGATTGGTTGGTTGGTTGGTTGGTTGGTTGGTTGGTTGGTTGGTTTGCTTATTAAAACAGGATCACCTGTAACCCAGGCTGGTCTTGAATTTGTTCCTTAGCTTCAGATGACCTTGAATTCCTGAACTTATTGCCTCCAATTCCCAAGTGATGGGATTACAGGGTTGGTTCCTTATACCCAGTTCTGGCTAGTTTGTTTTTGTTGATTGTTTTGTTTCTTGTTTTAGTGAGCCTCTGCTCTGTGACATAAATTCAGGTAGCAAACTACATGGAAGTAGTGTATTTACTAACTAAACAAAAAGCTGCTCTTAAGTGACTGTATAGCTACTGTAAAATGGCATCTGACGAACAGGAAAGATATTGAGAAGACAAATATGTCCTCTGTCCTCAGATGAGACTGGTAGATGCAAGAGATGTCCAGGAATGAAGGTCCTGGAGGGGCATCAGCATCACTGGGGTCTTCTGTTAGGGCCCCTGCATTGCCTCATTTGTTCTGGAGTCTGAGAAGATTTGGTTGTAGTTCAGACGTTGCCTTTTTGCCATCTTTGTGACTTGACACAGGTTTCCTTTCACCTCTCTAACTCAGTTTTACTTACATCGGGTATCAAAGTCCACCTCAAGGCCGCTGGGCATCGTGAAGATGATGTCAAACAGGAAATCCATCCCTGGATCTCTGTAGGACTGTGTGGTGCCTGTCCTTAAGCTGCATCACTATGACACCTGAGCAGTCAAGAACTATGTTGACTGGCCAGCAATGGGGAAGGAAAGATTTCTGAGGCTCATCCCTGGTTGCAAATTAAATATATTCAAATATAAATATTTCTCCCTAATATTCTCAGTCATTCTACCATAGATCAATCCTTCTTCCATAATATATACATATACAAGTGATAGGGCAATTTTCCTTCAACTTCTTGGTTTCTTACTCTACAGTGTATCTTACATGTGCTCATTCTCCTGCATTGCTAGGAATGATACGCGCAATGGTATGGTGTTGGCTGAGTGCTTCTTACATGCTGCCGAGGAGGGCAGGAGGGTAGGTTTCCAGCAATGCAAAGCCTAACAGTGAAAGCTGAGGGGTCAGAGTGTTAAGAAACAGAAAGGGAAATCTGGCAAATAAAAAGGGGGAAAGATAGGCTGCGAATTGAGGTTTGAACTTCGTCCTTTATGATATGGGGAGTTATTAAAGGCTTCTAGGTAGATAAATACAATGATTAATTTATATCTGACTTATATAAACCATCCTGTTCAAACCCTTTATTCGTCTATAGTAGAAAATTAATCCTCGGGTTAGTAAAAGATGGTCAAAGTCCAAATTCCATGACAGTTAATTTCTTTTTCCCAGCATATTTCCTGCTGCTGAATTTCAAAAGGATGTGTGTGCTTTAACCCTAGAAAACGTAACTATATATAATATAATAATATAACAAAAGTATATTTGATCTGCATTTCATAATTTTATAATCTGTAAAATAATAATTGATTTGGGAAGAAGCAATTGCATGGGGCACTTTTCTCCTCTAGAAGCAGGGTATTTTCAACCAGGAACTTCTCCAAGACCTTCCCTGTCAAGCCTTCTACCAAATTTTTATATGGTTTAAATCCTTGATTATTTTTTGGTATTTTGATGTATTTTTTATTCGTCAATTAGGGAATCCTGCCAACAGTTTGTTCTTGAAGAAATTTCATATTGCATTCTGTCCTAAAGTATAGGACACATTCTGATACTCAGTGGTTCTCGAGTTTTATTGGACGTCAGAGACTTGGAGCTCTGTTAGAATGGACATTCTCCATCTCACCCTCAGGAATTTAAGTCAGGGATGAGTGATATGCCGGCTCTAAGTCACCAGTGTTTAACAGTCACTAAATAATTCCAACACAAGTGGAAACCCTGCCTTGTGAACAAATTTACAACCTGTGCTTCCTCTCTGAGCATTCTTCAAGACTTCCAATTTGTAATGAAAATATCCACTAACCTACAGAACATTAGAACACTAGCCCACAGCTCTAGGATTTAGTATGTTACCAGTGTTGGTAATTAGACCTTGGCTTTCAGGTCTGTCTTTGTCTGGGCTTGCAATTGCAGGAAGGATAGTTTTATTCACAGTAATTTTGAATCTCTTTTATCATATGGTTCTATTGCCCATGTTCTCTCAAGAAGGAATCTATATAATGGTGAATTTAACATGGAAACAGCAAAGCTATCATACCCAAGCCCTTGTTTCTAAACGAGGCTGTAATGATCTTATGGTCTACCATGTGTGTCTAAACCTCTGTGCTTTGGGGTTCTGTTTGAATGGAGGAGATATTTAATCCTGTGCACAGTTACAATGCATACAGAAGTCCTCAGATCGGAGATAAACAAAACTCAAAGAATGCTGCAGTAGCCCAAAGACATTGGAACACACAGGGCAGATTGTGAGGTTTTTAGGTCAAGAGCATCCTCTGAGATGAACCTGCAAGCTAAGGAGTCATCCTTAAACTGTTTGGGGAAGCCAAGAACAGAGAGCTTGTTTTCATTTAACTCATCTCTTTAAAAAAAAATAAATTAGTCTATCCACCTACTTTTAAATAGCACTAAATATCTCAGTATAGCCTAAACTAACTTATCCGGCTATTCAGGTTAGAACCTAACACTCTTTCAGCAATTTTTTATTGAACATTTCCAATGCAAGGCACAGTTCAGTTGAGTATATATCTCACATATACACTAAGTACATACAAGTGTATTGTGTATAGCATTTATGATTACAGACAGGAGTATTTTCTTGTATATCCCCAAACATACTAAGCAAAAAATAGACTTATACTTTGGTAACTATATTTCTTTACATTTAAGATGTCCCTTTTCTCAAGGCCCACTCCATGAGACGGAACCCAACCCAACATTGCTTGGGTGACCAAGAACAAGAGACTAGATAGCCCAGAGACCTAGAATAAATCCAAATACTACTGGTCTTAAAAAATAAAGTAGTGATAATAATGACTCCTAGTGATAATCTGCTATACTCATAGATCAATGCCTTATTCAGCTGTTAGCAGACAAGCCTCCCACACCAGATGGGAACAAAAACACAGACCCACAACCAGATATTATGCAGAGAGAGAGAGTCCTTGGAATACACAGCTTTAAATGGGATGTCTCCATCAAATCCCTCCCCTCGGAGCTCAGGGAACCCCATGGAGAAGGAGGCCGAACAAGTGCAAGAGCCAGAGGGGATGGAGGACACCAGGAGAACAAGGCCCTCTAAATGAATGTGATCAAAGCTCATGAACTCACAGAGACTGAAGCAGCAATCACAGGACCTGCCTGGAGTCTGCACCAGATTCTCTGTACATATAATAGCTTTCCAGTTTAGTATTTTTATAGGATTCCTG